CTGTCACTTTACATTTTCAAGGCAACTAACTTATTTTTAACATAGTCCTCAGCTGTCCTCAGTCCTCTGAACACAGAGGTTCAAACCAATGTAGTCAAGAATATGGAAAAAAGAGAAGTTGCATGCTTTAATGCCACTATTTCCATCTTGCTTTTTAAAATCTGTTAAAACAACTTATGTCTGTTTAGTTTGATCAGTGCTTACATGAAAATTTCCTGCACTTAATTACTGTTGATGGCAGACTGATAACAACCCATGGAAACTCTGTATAAGGTTAAACCTTGAAAGAAAAAGAATTAAAAATGGCTTGAAGGATAAACTTTTTATGAATAGGATAAATTTATTTTTCTTCACAGACACAACATGTACAGTTCTTCACAGGTAGCAAAGTGAGAGGATTTTCCTTCTTTAGATGCCAAGCTGTTTTATACCAAAGAATTATTCTGTCCCTGCTTCAGATTGGAAAATGGAATCAACCAAATCCCAAGCACTATGAACGTAATCCGTAATGTCAGCCCTGGCATCGGCTGATACTTCTGGTAGGAACCTACTGTCAAAACTAGAGACAAGAGCAAACGAAAACGCATCCTTGGAGAGTTTAGCCTGACCCCCTCTGCTCCTACAGCCTGACTCTGAAAAGTGACAGCTCCATTTTGCTGCAAACAAAGTTTCTGCCAGCGACTGTTTCATCACTTCAGCATGAACAGAAGTCAAACTCAAAGGCTGCTGAGAATACTGTATGGGATTACTCCAAACACGCTTTATCTCTATACCTTTGATTATTCCGTTGCTGCGGAGTCTCTACGTTGGCTCGCTCATTTTTATAAGCCCACCTGCTGAGGGCCCTCAGGCTCACACAAAGAGCGCTCCCTGCCCAGGGCATTTCCCCTGCCCTTGGCTTCTTTAACTGAATGGGGTCATGGACTTCTCGAACTGGAAAAGTCTTGGGAGAACACGGTGAATCAGCTTGGGGCGCTCTCCCCCACCCGTGGTTCCAGATAAAGGCTGACTACAGCAACAGGGGAGGTAGTCTGGTAGCTTTTACCTTTCAGCCATTTCAATTTTTAACTGTGTCTGCGCTCGGCTGTCACTTGCCATCCCATGCGGGGAGAAGCTTCATCACTCAAGATGACTTCTAGCCATCTAGGCACTTTTAGGAGAACTCTCCTGACGACATTACAAACTTGTGCTAAGTGCAATTACGCCAGGCAGCTCTGAGTACTGATGACCTCCATGCGCCAATGTTTCTAGCATGCATGAAGGTCTACAACCAAATGCAGATTTTCTTTCATGAAAAGGTTTAATTAACACCAAGAAAAAGACCCACAAGCACTGCACCTACGCCCGCCCGGACACTTCTTTCAGCAAAGCACTCCGGCAGTAAGGTGGCCTGAGGCACAAAGTCTCTGTTCCCTTGTAAACCGATCTTAGAGCAAACTCCAAGCTCTTGGAGAGATGAGCTGGTGCAATGATCTGTTACAGGCACAGCGCTCAGGAAGAGCCCATCTTTAAACAGGAAACCTAAAAGGAGAAAAAGTGCCTTGTTAACTCTTTAGGCCCTGAGGCTTTGGTAATAAAACATATGGTCAGAATTACCAGCCAAAGCAAAGCACAACAGCTCCCCGTGGCTACAGTGCCCTAGGAATACGTTACCTTGGTTCACAGCATAAATCTTTTATAATATGAAGAACCAAAAACTTGTTAGTAGAAAGCAATACTTTCGTGCAGTGCTCAATTCTTTCAGAGATTTCTTATGAAAGAGAGGCCTGTCATGATAAATACAGATGCTTTTCAAATGGAAAGGTGAATTCTTTCCAAAAGGGATTCCTGGATTCTAGGCAAAATATGGTTTCCAAAAGCTTTAGAGCTAAACTTGAAGCAGGTAAGAAGTTTCCTTCTCCTTAAGTAATGCAAATGGGAAACTTAAAACATTGATTTTTTTTTCACACAGATTCCATATATTACTGTTAAAAAATGAAAGTTGAATGCTTCTGAATTTAAAGATCAGCACTGTAGGCTTTTAAAACAATCCAAAGTTACAGAGAAAAAGTATTACACCTTTCCTTAAAAAGTGTAAATTCTTGGAAAGTCCTCAAAGGAATCTACTCCATTAGAGGCTAGAGTCCAATCTCATTGTGGGCCAATTCTTTTGTTCTCCTGCTCTGCAATAAAGGGCTGTATTTATTCATTCCTAGAGGTTGCTGCTCTGTTGGCTTCTGATGCAACCCCTTCCTTCTATCTTTCACTCAATGGGGGATTCAGATCCCAGTCCCTGCCCTCAGGCAAAACATATGTTCCACTCCAACCTGAATCCAACGAGGGTGTTTGCAAGGGAATAATTGTTTTATGTTTATTAATCACCTGCATGCAAATAGGTGCCAATAAAAACTCCAGGCAGATTCTCTGCCAGACTCACATGATCAAATAGCACCACACCCCAGTTTTGGTGTCTGAAATAATGAATACCTCCAATAAGGAGACATGGCTACTTTGATATGCAGTGACAAAAATATCACATCAGCTCAGCCACTCTACAACGATGACTTCGAAAAGAGAGACAAGAAACTTGCAAAAACATTCAACATCAGTGGTAAAATAAATTAGAGATGCTGCCTATTAAGCTAAACAAGTACATTAATGCAACATGAAGGGGTGAGATTTCAGTCGCAGAACTAGAACACTCACTCCGCTCATGTTAAACGTGACCTGCCAGGAGAAAATAATCCTGCTGGGGACTTCCTTTCTTACACTGTAAAAAAGTTTGAAGAGGTTTTTAAAAGACAAAGTAAATTTTAGCAAAATGTTTCAGAGAGCCATTGCAGCAATGACTACAACAAAACCAGCTGATAATCAAACTCACTCTGGAAAGAATTAAACTACAAAACCTGATGGGACCTCAGTTAAGAATTAGATTTAAGTAGGGGTGTTCGTAAGAGGCAGGATGAGATCAGGCACTGGAGCTGCAAATTTCTTCTGTGACGTTAAGCGAGTTTCAGTCTCCAATCCAGTTCTCATCTGTTTATTAAGATGGGAATACTCGGTCTTTTAAGACTGACAACTTTTGGGGGAAGAGACTTTCTCAAACACACCACCGAGGCAAGGCCAAGAAGGCTTTGACCAACACACGCAGTTGGGTCTGCCACTTACCTTTCCCAGCTGAGAACTTGGGTGTTACACCACGCCACACAAGTACTACACTCTGCATGCAACCTCGTAGACATCCAGCCTTCCATTTCCGAGATTCTTTTTCCAAGCTTATTCAAACATAAAATAAGCACCCAAACAGAGCATTTTAAATGATTAACTCATTCAATGCAAATTCAAGTAGGGAAGCGGTCTCAATGAAAATCATTCTCAGAAGAATCCCTTCTGGGCAGACTGCAAGTATCAGCCACATGATAGTTATCTGAGGCTGTTCTGTGAACAGAGTTTTTATACGGAAGCATCATCGAGAGCCTAGACAGATCAGTGATTATTCTTATGGAAACAAAGCTCTAGCTAGTCAAGAGTAATTCAAAGATGTATGAAAAGTACTGCAGTTTTCTTTCTCATTGAACTTCTTTCATGTACTTCTAAATGTACAGACATATCAATTAAGAAAAATCACGCAATTGATACATCAGTTTGTATTTAAAATAATGTAGTTACAAGCCTACTGTGCCAGCAGGAGAATGTTCTTTCCCAGTAACAGAACCATGGCAGGTGAGTTAAAAGTGACACTAGCATTTTAATCCATTTTACTTGAAAAATCTTTCATTTTTCACTTGGATTAGAATTCCAGACTGGTTTGGGTGGGAAGGGACCTCAACGCCCATCCAGCTCTACCCCCTGCCATGAGCAGGGACACCCTCCA